TGTATTTGGTTTGATTTAAAAACTGGTATTTCATTGACCTTTACAGATTTTATAAGAATGGAATAGAATAGAATAGAATATTTTTTATTCAATATACATTACATGTGTAATTCTTATTGAAAGTCATTTTTTACTTTACCACTGATTCGAAAAAAAACCCTCTGTCCTGGGAAGAACCAGCAAGAAACCCAGCGGGAGTTTTTTTTAAATAAATTTTACAATATAAATGATTACGAACAATTTACAAAATTTATTTTAGAAACTGCTTGGAACTTTTTTTTTTTTTTTTATAGGAGAGGGGGCAAACGAGCATGCGGCTCACCTGATGGTAAGTGACTACCGCCGCCCATGAACAACCGCAACACCAGGGGAATTGCAGATGCGTTGCCGGCCTTTTAAAAAGGAGTAGGCTCTTTTCTTGAAGGTCCCTAAGACGTATCGGTCCGGAAAAATCCCTGGTGGTAAACTATTCCACAAGGAAGTTGTGCGAGGAAGAAAACATCTTCTAAATCGCACAGTGGTGGACCGCCAATCATCCAGATGGTGTGGATGGTATCGGGAGTTCTGCCGCGATGTGCGTTCGTGAAATTTAGCGGCTGGGATTAATCCGAACAATTCCTCAGAGCACTCCCCATGGTAGATGCGAAAGAAAATGCAAAGAGATGCAACATCTCTTCGCAGTGCCAATGAATCGAGCCGATCGGAAAGGGCTCGGTCGTCGACGATTCGAGCCGCTCTGCGCTGGATGCGGTCAAGTGGAAGGAGCTGGCACTGGGGAGCCCCTGCCCAGAGATGGGAACAGTATTCCATGTGAGGCCGAACCTGCGCCTTGTAAAGTTGCAGGCGGTGTGCCGGCATGAAATACTGTCCCGCTCTGCTGAGCACGCCAAGCTTTTTAGAGGCCAATTTGGCCTTCTCTTCCAAGTGACCACGAAACTGCACGTCACTCGATATGTCGACTCCGAGGATACCGATACTGGCTGAGGCAAGAAGGGGAGTGCCTTGAAACTGAGGAGATACGACAAAGGGGTTCTTTTTAGCGGTAAACGCGCAAACTTGTGTCTTCTGAGGATTAAACTGGACTAGATTTAGTCGCCCCCAATCCGAGACTTTGTCCAGCAAAGACTCGACTTCAGACACAAGTTTGTTCCGGTACTCGGCGACGTTTTCCCGAGAAATATTGGCCCGGCCGGTGTATAGAGCATCACCAGTGCTGTCATCCGCATAGCAATGAATGTTACCAGTTAGCAACATATCATTGATATGCAGAAGAAACAGCGTTGGTGATAGCACACAGCCTTGTGGAACACCAGCGTTAATAGGCTTAAACTACTTGGAACTTGGAACTGCCGACATATTCATAATAGTAGAAACATTTAAAAAAACGTTAAAAATGCGCAAAAAATCAAAGAGCATTTCACTAAGGCATTGTTTTGTGTATTAATATAATACTCTAGGAACTGATAGACTTTTATTAAAAACTAACTTCTCAATTAAATGTCATTGTGTAACAACAAACTTTACCTCAGTGTCAACTAGCGACATCTGGTGGGCAGAAAATTATTAACCCACATTGTCATGAGTGTTTAAATATCGTGTATTTATACCCTCCGTGCACCAGGTGGGGTTTGACAAACCCCAGTCCTTCAAATTACGCAATAATTTTAAAACTGTGAAATCACCAAAGTTCTGAGTAGCTGAAATTTCGACGTAGCTGCTTCGATCAGTGCCACTAACTCAGTCCAGCAGCAACTACTAAGCGTGCTACATGCCCTTAAAATGCGTGTGGGCGTCACAAACCCCACCTCGTACGGCGCGTTGATAAAGAGGTAAGATTTTGATTCGATGTAATTTATGTATTTTTTTATTTATGTGTTTTTAATTAATGTATGTTTAGCATTTTAATTGCTTTTAATACGTTACAGACAATAGTTTACAAGAAGAATGTCTCATATAAAGGAAACTGACATTTTAGACGAAGGAGACGACTTTGAGTTAGAACCTGGAGTGAATCTGAACATTTGTTTATTAACATGAAGTGTGACATGAACAGCAAAGTTAATGCGGAAATACTTTCTTCCGATTTTGACAGTGACATCGATGTACCACTTTCAGAGCTTCGCACGTCTAGACAAAGGTATTATATTGGCAAAGATAATACAAAGAAGTGGCAAAAAGAACCATGCAAGAGCAATGTCCGCCGCAGAACAAAAACATTATTACTCATTTGCCTGTTGGTATTTCTTTGATAAAAGGCCACTTAAACTCTAGAAGGCAGAACTAAAAGCTTGCAAGGGACCTACGCAATAGAATTGCTAAATATTTTGATGACTCGCCTAAAGATTCAACAGAACGCGGTCTAATGCTCAAAAAAGATACTTAAGTTGCCCTAGAAAGAAAGACCGTACAGCAAAATACTCATGTAAAATGTTACGTGCCTATATGTATGGAGCAAACTGACTTTTTTTTTGTCAAAACTGTAGTCAATTGAAGACCGATGATCTCAATTCAAATTTATCTTTCCTGTGTTCAATTTATGTTTAATTACTTGAAAATATATTGTTGTTTGTAAAATTCAAATGATTGTGATAATTAAAAGTGCCATTTTAAATTAGTAGATAAGAAAATGACTGTTAAGTTACATAAATTACAGAAGTTGTGTTTCTTTGTTCTTTTGTTGTTAAAAAATTACGTATAACATGATTATACGGAATTTTTTAAAGTAGTTAACATACATTTCGACAGCACTATCGGCTTTAACACCCTCAAAAACCATGAAAATGACACGCATGATGAAAAAATTGGTACCTAATTCAGCCGCCATCCTGGATTTACATTTCGACAGCACTATCGGCTTCAACACCCTCGAAAACAAGTGAAAATGACACCCATGATGAAAAAATTTATACCTATTGCAGCCGCCTCCTTGGATTTACATTTCGACAGCACTATCGGCTTCAGCACCGTCGAAAACCATGAAAATGACACTCATAATGAAAAATTGATATCTGTTGCAGCCGCCATCTTGGATTTACATTTCGACAGCACTATCGGCTTCAACACCCTCGAAAACCATGAAAATGACACCCATGATGAAAAAATTGGCACCTACTTCAGCCGCCATCTTGAATTTACATTTCGACAGCACTATCGGCTTTAACACCCTCGAAACCCATGAAAATGAAACACATGAGGAAAAAATTTATACTACTTACTTTTAGTACGTACTACTATTATTTATTCTGTGCCTTTAAAATATTGTAATAATAAAATCTCTTATTATTGAAATTTGGTTATTCGAATATTGTGTATTTGTACAGCGACCTTTTTGAGCCGCTGCAAACAACCGAAACAATGTCCACTCACGACGGCAACTGACATAGATAATACACAATATACCAGGAACTGGCGACTGACACCAAACTGAGGGAGTGAGTAAACTACTCTGTGGCTGTAGCTCCCTATTTACAGAAATAATTTACATACAAGGCTTTTTTTATAGGATAGGGTGATAAACAAGCGCACAGTCCAACTGATGATAAGTGGTTACTGTGACCCATAGACATCTACATCTATCCTCAATAAAGACTCAAGATGCAGATGCGTTGTCGCCCGTGATGACTAAGATGGAATGCCTCTTTTTCAGTAAAAAGGGTCTCCGGTTCTCTACACTCACCATACGAAACATAGCAGCGTTAAGCTGCTATTTTACGCTGGTTTTCTGCGAGAGCGTGGTCCTTCGCCGGTCGAGCCGACCCATTCGTGCTACAACTATACTACTAATATAGCTGCAGCATGGCTCTACCACGTAATAAATCAACGAAAATTTCGCCATTTTGGAGCCGAAAAAAATTAATTGTAGGTAAACAAAACAAAATTACACTGCCATTTATATTCAGTGACTTCCCATATGATAGATGAAGAGATTAAAAAATAGATTGAGTTAAACAATTGATATTTTCAAAATCCACACCATAAGCCACTAAAACCCCTTTTTTATTTAAAAATACCTATTAATCAATTTAAAAAAATATTAATAAGTTCAACAATCATTTATCTTTCTAACAATATGCTTTTTATATAATTTATATGTATAATGCGATTGCTAGATACGATTTCATTCGATAAAACGTTGGAATCTTAATTTTTAGGCGATAGTAGAACATACCTTGCTTCGCTTAAGGCATGCAATTTTAAACAGTGGTAGAGCCACGCGGCAGCTTTTGCTGTCGCACGGATGGGCTGGCTCGAACCGGGGTGGTACCACGACCTCACAGAAAACCAGCGTGAAGTAGAGGTTTACCTCTGCGTTTCGCTTGGTGAGTGCAGGTGGCCGGAGGCCCTTTTTACTGGAAATGAGGCATTCCATCTTAGTCCTCACGGGTGACAACGCATCTACATTTTGATTTGTATTAGAGGATATATTATGTAGATGTCTATGGGCCGAAGCAACCACTTACCATCAGGTGGACTGTGAGCTCGTTTGTCACCCTCATCCTATAAAAAAAAATGCAAAAAGTAAATTGTTTTGACTAAAGTCGCTCAAATCTAATTTACTCACCTTATCCCTAATAAAACCAATTATATTTGCTTCGCATTAACTAACAAAACACAACCTGACACCAGCAAGGAACATTTAAAATTAATTTACAATACAGTATTTAAAAAAAATTAATGACAACATTCAGAAACAGCAAAGAAGCAATCACTTCATTCCCAGGGGTTATTATGAATTGTGTTCTCTAAAGGTACTTATCGTGTAGTGGCTGTGTAGGAATATCCACGACCCCACATCGTCTCGTGGGTATCGTAAGAGTCGACAGAGGGAAATTAAAACAAGTAACGTGTAGTAGCATCTGCCTGATAACAGCTCAAAATAATAAAAAATCTGCGGTTGCCAAACCCGCCTGCCAAGATTGGCAACTATGGCAAAATCCCCGTTTTCTGTGTCTTTGAAATTATGAATGCAACAAAATAATTTCTAAATTATAATATATCACCTGTATGGTACATCAGCAGCCAGGAACACGTAGTTGATCCAGTACATACAATAAAGCAACAATGGCGCTGACAGGAGGCAATAGTTCAACAGGTGGAACTTGCGGTACTGGCCCAGCTCGTACATCAGCTGATCGATGTCCAGAGCTTTTCCGCTGGCCTTGGTCTCCTTTTCTGCCATTGCCAAAAGTTACCACTACCACTTAGCAATAATTGTCACCACGTAGGATTGTTCGTTTATTTTTTATTTTTATTACGAATATCTGAAAAAATTAATATCACTCAGAGGTAAAATAATTTCAACAGTTAAAAACTGACTTGTCCGTATCGAGTGACTTGCCTTTGCCTTTGTTTATTTTTATTAAATGAAAAAATATGTATATCAAATTTTTATTCAATGGAAAACAATTACAAAGGGGTGAGCACGCTTATGTTAATAAAAAATATTTTATTATTTTGTTTGACAGTTTGTAAATGGGAGTTAGTGATAATCGTAAGCGTTTGCGATAAAATGCATTTCGAAGTACACTCGCGAAGTGAAAACACGCAACGAGTGTGAAGTCTGCGTGCGCGGGCGCGACTAATGTGAAACTGAAATGTGATTCTGTGTAGTCCACAGGTCACAAAATATGGCATTGGAAAAACTTTGATAGATCTATACAGGCAAAAATACGTATAGCATGCGAGAACCGAGCTCGATTCGCCGGCACAAATTTTAAGTGCTAATTTACCAAGTGCTCGGCGCGGATCATCTTTAAGGCAAACGTATAACTAACTAACGTACACTACATGGTATCAACTTTAAATAAATAATTGTATTTATAGCATCATTGTTTTATTATATGTTGAATACTAAATTCTATGGACGTAATTAAAGATAAAAAACAATAATCTACCAATTGTTTACAATATTCACAATAACCACACATAGATGAATTAACATAATATGTTTCCCGGAGGGGAAGACTACGAATTTCAACATTCTATCCCTCTTGAATTTCTTCACTGCTATCTCATTTTTCATTCAGGCCCTTAAGGGAAAATAGGCCCTGACCTACCTAATTATTATGGTGTTATAATTTATAATATACGGCCACCAGAAAGGCGCCGATGTAGGTACTAGCCTAGAGCGCTGTCGACGGTTAACCGCTTCGTTGCGGCACCGATTTTCGACAACTTTTGACCACAGAAGTTGATGACACGCCTATTGTGCCATCAGCCATGTGTAAAAGTAATGTTCTTTTTATGCTTTTTTTACTTGTTTAGACCTAATTAAGTTTAATTGAAATCAAACATAAGTTACAAACAGAATGATACTTGTTTTAGTGAGTAACTACGTATTTTTTACGTGTTTTCTTTGAAATTGAGAGTGACTTTTTTTACGCAGAGATTACAAACCTTTTGTACTATTTTTTGTTTTATAAAAAAATCATTTATATAAGTAGGTACAGCTAAATCACCCTGGAAACTGGTTTTTATTAAATTAAATTTTCACCTAATAATAACATTTGTAAATATCAAACAATGAAGAACCTTAATTTGTAAAAAAATAAGATTTATGATTCATTGATATTTACAAATGTTAAATATTATTTAATGTTATACAAATGTAAAAGTAAAGTCGATCTGAAAACGTATCATTAGTAAGAATAGCAAAATAAGTGTTTTCAAAGGGAAAATAAGGATTGACAAAAGACTATTTATTAGCGAACTTTTTTTTATGCATGAACGGTTTCGAACTATTTCAAGCAAAAACAAATTTTATACCATATCACAAGAGCACATGGTACTTCGTAAGTCTATTCGGCCATATGATAGTAATAAGACGGCAGTTCAAACATTTTAAGCAAAATTAAACAATAAGACAAACGCATTGTTTTCTGAATGGTGAAGAAAATATATAGCGCGAAAGTTAATATTAAAAGGTGTCGAGGTAGACCGAGACTAACTTTCGAAGACCATGTGAGCAAATTGCTCGAAGAGGGTAGGGTCAAGAGTACTCCGATACCTAGACGTGCATGTATGAAGAAGATAATGAATCTGAAAGAAGCGAAAGAGATATGTAAGGATCGTGACACTTGGCGATCTGTTCTCTCTGGCTACCCCGTCAGGGATTGTGCGTGAAGATAAGTAAGTAAGTAAGCATTGTTTTCTTTTAACAGGAGACTTGTTTTTCAGAAAAATATTTACAATTTGAGTTTCTCAGCGATCGCAATAACTGATATTATTTGTTACTTATTAGACTATTTTTCCACAACATGATTTAAAACCCACAAAATAAAAATAGTACCATGTACACGTTAAAAAAGGTTGTCAACCCCTAAAAATTTCAAATTTTCAAAATATCAAGAAACGAAGCTGCAGGCATGAACTACTTGCAAAATAATGAATATTTTGTTCTGGATATATCTTCCAAAAAAGCAATTTGAGCGAGTTATAACAATGTTTTTAAAAGACACGACTCGCGTGTCATACGCCACACTGAACCGGTTAATTAAATAAAACACTAGGATTTTCTCTTGTGTGAAAATTACACATATTATTATCATTATTCTCATTATTATCATTACAGCCCATCACAAATCTACAGCTAAAAATAAACCTCCCGCAAGGGACGACACAGAACAAGGTCCTGATCCACCTGTACCTATCGACTTTTTGCAACTCTTATCAGATCATCACTCTATCTAATGGACGGCTGCCGTACACGTTGCTTACAGGTACGACGTTGCTACTCGAGAAACGTTTTTCTACATCTGTTATCGTTCTTCCAGCTTTATGACCGGCCCATTGCCACTTTACAGAAACAGAAACAGAAACTTTTTTATTCAATATAGATTATAAATAACGCTTATTCAAAGTCACTCTTTGTTGGATTACCACTGGTTCGGAAAAAAAAACCTCTGTCCAGGGAAGAACCAGCAGGAAACCCAGCGGGACTTTTTTTTAAAATAACAGATTACAATCATGTATGTTACACAAATTAACAACACAACAAATTAGAAATAGCTTGGTAGCGATCACCTCATTTCCAGGGGTTATTATCATCCATAAATTCCTTAATATTATAAAAACCCTTTTTATACAATCTTAGTTTAATAAAGTTTTTGAACTTTAAGCAGGTCAAATTTTGTATATTTTGTGGAATTTTGTTGTAAAAGCATATACATTGCCCCAAGAATGAATTACTGACTCGATGGAGTCGAGTAACTGGTACTACTAGCTTGTGTCTGTTCCTAGTATTTACAGAATGAATATCACTTATTTTTGTAAAACTACTTTTATTTTTGTGTACGTACATTACATTTTCATAAATGTATTGAGAGGCAAAAGTTAATATATTAATTTCCTTAAATTTTTGTCGCAGCGACTCTTTAGGCTTTAAATCATAAATTGCTCTTATGGACCTCTTCTGTAAAACAAATATAATTTCAGTGTCAGCTGCGTGACCCCATAGCAAAATACCATACGACATTATGCCATGGAAATAGCTAAAGAAAACTAGTCTAGCTGTTTCAACACTGGTTAGAATTCTAATCTTTTTTACGGCATATGCTGCAGAACTAAGTCTGCTTGCTAGTTTTGATATATGGGGGCTCCATTGAAGCTTCGCGTCTAGTGTGATTCCAAGAAAAATGATGGTATCTATGAGACTCAATTTCTCCCCATTTAAAATTACATTAGTATTTAATTGTTTGTCATTTGGAGTCATGAATTTCATAAATTTCATTTTAGTGCCATTTAAATGCAAATTATTAACATTGAACCAATTTACTAATTTAGATATAGAATTATTTACTTCGTCATATTTTAGCAATTGTCGACTTAATTTGAAAATTAAAGATTTGATGAGATTGTCATCTGCAAATAATACTATATCATGGTTATCTCATACTATGTAAGGTAAGTCATTAATGTATACAAGAAACAGAAAGGGGCCGAGAATTGAGCCTTGAGGCACACCCATTTGGACGATCGATCCGGAAGAGCTCATATTGTTAATGACAACTTTTTGCGTTCTCTTACTTAAATATGAAATAATTAATTTAAGAGCATCACTTCTTACACCGTAGTGTTCAATGATCAAGAATAATTTTTTCAAAAATCTTACTAAGTGTTGGTAGTACAGAAATAGGTCCAAAATTGGCGGGGTCTAATGTACTACCAGATTTAAATTAAGGTATTACTTAACTGTGCTTCATTAAATCAGGAAACACACCAGATTCGATACTAGTATTAAAAATAATAGCTAAATAAGGCGCAATTGTATCTATTATAGACGCAATAACTTTAACGGAAATCCGCCACATATCCGCAGTTTTCTTAACATCACTAGTTTTAAGATATTTTACAATATCTCTTGATGATACTTTATGAAACATAAAATTCTTTGTACACGCATTTACATTTTGTTTAAGTAATGATTCGGCGACGGCAGGAGAAGAATTCAGTGACTTAGTGGTTAATATCGGAATATCAGTAAAACATTTCTCAAAAACCATTGCTACGTCCTGATCTGATACAGTTAATTTGTTGTTAATACTTAACTGGTAATTTGAATTGCTAGAGTTGATCTTACCAGTTTCGCTATGAATTATACTCCATGTCGTTTTAATTTTATTAGAAGACGTCTTAATTTTGTTGCTCAAATGCAAAGACTTGGCTGTGGAGCACACGCTTTTAAATATTTTTGAATATTTTTTTAAATATTCCCTAAATTCGACGCTATGATTATATGACCTTTCATGGTAAAGATCATATAACCTATGCCTGCTCTTATGGACTCCTACTGTCGCCCATTCATTGAATGACTTCCGACTGTTCAAGGAGAATGTTTTAGAAGTAAAAGTATTATTAAATTCATTGCAAATAAGCTTAAATAATGTTCCATACAAAAAATTAGGATCATTTTGGTTTGAAAGTGATGGAAGTTTTTTCACTATGTTACTTCTAAATTTCTCCAAGCGACGTGCATTTACTGGAACAAACACAACATTTCTCATCTAATTGCTTTCCGTGAACATAAGGTAACGAAACTACTCGTCCACAGTAATCAGAACTTAATTTTTGAATTATACATTTATGCAAGGGCTTCACATTTGTAAAAATGTTATCTATACATGTTGCACTAGATTGAGCAATACGCGTTGACTCTATAAATAAATTAAAAAGACCATGTGA